GGCCCCAGTGCATGAGGGCGGCTGTGAACTTCGGATATGCCGTGTTCGAATCCTCTAAATGAACAATATTTTTAATAACGGCGAAATTCCTTTCAACAAGAAATTAATTCCACCTTCCTTGATGGCAGCACAACCATCAGAGCAATGTGGCAGTGAGTCGGTGACTTGTGAGTAGCGGAGGCAACATGAGGTCCTGGGTCAGAGGTGCACGGCTATGCTGTCCGACGCGTGCACTCCTTGTGACTGCAGTTTTTCTTGATCCGCCTGATAGTTGACCGTCAAGTGTAATAATCAACACAAACTGTAATCCCGATTTCCTTTCTCTCTTTCTTCTTTTGGCATATTTGGGATTACGACAAAATACATTATAATTAGTTCAACAGTTTCATCTTCCTGCTGAGATCCTTCTGAAATCGTTAACCTTTGCGTTTCTTGAGTATACCTGACATTGACTGATATTATCCTCTGTTCGAAAGGATGACGACATTATGCGCAATTTGTCCTCACTTTCTTGAACTTTCAGAAAACCGGATGAGTGCATGGTGATAAGGCCATAAAGAGGAAAGGCAGCAAATCAATCCTTGGCTGATGATGCCAACAATAGAGACTAGCATCTCACTATAAACTCCACAAGGGAAGAGTACCAAGTATGGCCGCCAGTCATGAAAGTGTGTAGGCTACTGTGGTATCTCAACGGTTAAAGATATTTTTTTAATGTTATGCTAATTTCCAGTTCGATACTATCAGCCATGAGTTCTACATGCATAACGGCAATAACCCTTCGTATAGGTGAGCATCAGTGTGGCATACAGGCATAGGTCTTAGTCCCTGTTGGAGTATTCTGACCTACAGAAAATGAGTCTAGTCGGGACACAAATTCGCAGCACAGTCTTTTTGGTAACCTTCGACAGACTGAGTGACAAACCGGAATATCAGACAAAGGACGAAGACCAACGTCTGGCATCGGTTCATTTCCCCTCTCGATCCCTTTCGTGAGGATAAACTACACGTGACCTATATGATCACTGATAAGAGTTTAACATTCTTTTAAGCATTCTCGTTTGTACGCTTTGAATGTTGTCGTCTACCCAATGGTGAAATACCCCTCGTTATCAGCACAGAGCTAGCGATCGTTTAATATATCGTGGCTGCTTCTGATTGGATGATGCTATCGGCGCTGCTGTGATTGTCTATCCTCTTTAGGCGATTCCAAACTGCCTGTTCCGATTTTAAACCGGGTC